GAGTCTTGCGACGATCAGACAGAGTTTTATTATTTGTTTTAGGAAATTAGACATTTATTTGAAACTGAAGCTTTTAGTGTAGTCAAGATCCTGCTGTAGAGAGGGTTAATTTTACACCCAAGTCCAAATTTCTGACCAGCTGTACGTTCAATTTGCAACCGCTCGAATATATTTCGTCTCCGCATTCTTCGCGCGTTTTGCGATGCTTCGCTTGACGAACTGGAACATCTGCTGTTACGCGGTCAAAGTTTATTTCTGAAAAAATTTCCAAGATAAGACTTGCATGCTGATTGGTTGAAGCGAGTACGAACTTCAAATCCCCGGATCAAGGACCGCAGACCAACCCGAGAGGTGGGGTATAATGAGATGTCAGAATCGAGGAAGAAATTAGAAACGTGTGGACGTAATGAGAGCACTAGCACTCGGCTGCTTTTTAATCGTGTTGGTCAACTAGTCCACCATGAAGACGAGAGTACTGTTTGTAGTTTTTCTGCAGACCAAGTCTTGAGTTAACCCGGCGAGGGATAGAAGCACTAGAACGCAAGGGGCGGGGCTGGGGAAAGATAATGACTCGTAGCAAAAAATAAACGTCTGTGGGCAGACTATCTCGAGACTATTCTGTTTGTCGATCCGTTTCCTAAGCGATACTCTCGCCGATCTTGAAACGACGAACAATAGAAAACGGATTTTTGAGAACCATTTAAAACTATAAATGGCAGACAATGTTGGTTAACCCTAAGCAGAAGGTTATAATCTTAGCGTTATAAACTTCTGCCTCAAAGAATTAAAGTTATTTAATGACGAGAAAGGCAACTTTCTGGGATCTTGTGATCTGAGAGATCAATGAGGCTTGGGGGTAGCTCGAGACCCGTCACAGACTCGTACGCTGATTACGTGTTTTTGGCCGAGAGATGATTGGATACTAAGGTGGATTAAAACGCGCGAGGAGTTATGGGAAGGATCGACCCTTCCCATGACACCTCGCACGTATTCACAATTAGTGAGGCTTTGCGGAAATTAAAGTATATTGCTAAGTCACTGAAATATGATGATATACGCATGCACAATGTATAAGAGTCTAACATTAACAGACTAGGCTGACTACTTTCCGTCTACTTTTAAGACGAAAGCCAACCTTCTTGGTTCATTCGATAAAGGGCAGTCGGAAAGACCTGAGCACAGTAAAAGGATAAAAAGGCAAAACCAGGTAACGTTCCATTGAATGAACTTATATTTAATTTTCGTCATAGTCAGTTGACCGAAGCGTAAACTAGAAAGACTAGAAACGCATCGTGATCTATAAGAACTCAGTCGTCCTTTTAGCTTGAGCTAAATGTAGTAAGAGACATTTTGTGACACTCTGAACAGTTTCAACATTTCGTTTTCATGTCGTGTTTCAGTCACTTCAGTACATCAAAATAAAGCCCGGTCGTTTAACTCGACTATGACCCCGCAAATCTGAATACATTGAATTTCGTATTAGTTAACAAAAAGCTCCTAGTACAACAACCAGGAATAACTCAATCTTGATTCTGTGTTAAAGTTGAAGTATGGACGTCTTTCAAAACTCTTGATAACTTACTGAACGCCTTTCATTCGCTGTTTTACTGCTCAACCAGCGAATCAAAGCGGAAAAGTTATTGCATCATGGAATTAAAGGCTATACACGAAAGACGAGACAAGGTCACTTTAATTTTCCGTCTTTGTATGTAATTCAAGAAGACAGCTTTCATTTTGCAGTTTCGCCAAGATGAGGTTTAATTTTCTCTCAAGGGTCAATTAGAATGTGGCCAATCAGAGAACGGCATTCGTGATAGAACGTTAGTAGGTTTATACTAATTAACAAATGGTAAACGCCATAGCGTGCACTATTGAGTTATGGATGCACGCGGGAGGTTGCTAAGCACGAAAGAAGCGTAAGAGTCGCA